ACCCAAAAAATATAATATTTTAACTGCAAATATTGGTGAAGGTTTCTTCCTTTTACCTGCAGATAAGTTGCATCAAGATAGAGAGAAATTATTTGAAGGCGGGACCAATAATGATGATATAAAGCCAAGACTTAGAACACCTGAAGAAATTATGGCTACTTATAGAAAAACTGGGGTAATATTAAGCTATCCATCTTTTCTGTCTTTTGACACTATTGATTTCAATGACTATATATTAATCAATGCCTGATTTCAGGATGCTTCTTCAGTTGCTGCACAAGCAAAAAACAAGCTTATGGAGAGGCAGGAAAAATTGGAGGTAGAAATTTATCTGATCTCATCATGCCAACTTACATAACTTATTCAACAAAATTTTGTTGTTAATTCTTCGAAACAAGCATGGAAAGCACCGTCGTTGGTTCTTAAATATCTTAAAAATACAACCTTCATTATATAAAGCTTATTTGTGTTTAATATTTTACACAAGCGAATAATTTAGTAAGAAAAAGTGTGGTTTTAATCCCTATGTAGGATTAAAAGCATGTGGTTTTTGTAATTTTTAGGAACTAAAGCAAATAAAAATTTTGTAATAACTAAAAAATGTCATTTTCAAGGACTAAAAACATATTGAAACTCTTCACTACATTGATATAAAAATTGCCATTTGTCTTCTTCTCAAATATTTTTTAAATATAAAATCTTTGTCTCTCTCTTCTTTGGTACCTAAGGTCATAATTTTCTTATATCGAAAGTATCATTATCATGATTCATGAATGGTGCCAAAATGAATTTTTGCTGTTCAATTTTATTCAGAGAATCAGCCAACGTACTGCTGAACTGCAAAGTGGAGCTGAAGATTTTGCATCATTAGCAAATGAGCTTGTCAAGACCATGGAAAGGAGGAAATGGTGGCAAATATAGACAAAAGTACAAATTATCTGAGTGAATTTTATGTATTTATTGTCTTGTATATTATATATATTTGTGGTGGTTGGCGTTGGTTTTTTTGTTGCATAGAACTAACAAAAAGGAAAATGCAGAACATCAGCAGAGTTTGCTGATATAAAATGCAAGCCAAAAGGTGGTTAGTGATTCTTTATAACTAGACTCGTGTCATATCAATTTCAATTTCATGTTAATTTTCTTATGATTTGAGATATTTAAATATTTCAAATTTGTATTGTGTAATAGTGATATATATATTCAGAATATAATAAGAAAAAAATTGTAATCTTAAAATATATAAGGTGGTATGTTTTCTAAATGAGTAATATATCATTGTTAGAAAATGTAAATGACTTTAATATAGATGCTTGAAAATACTTGAACAAAGATTGAGTTCTTATGTTCAAATAAGTGATCTCCAATGCTATATTCATATATAGTTGCTTAAATGACCTTTTTGGTGGATCCTACACACCTCATCGTACTTAAGAACTTTTATTATTTTTTCCCTATTGATGAGTTGTTTTGCTCTCTGTGTGGGTCTTATTTATGTCTCTTTCTCCAACTTTTTCTATCAATTTTATTATTAAAAAATGGTTAAGCAACTATATAAGCAACTCACTCTTACGAGAAATGTCACAGCATTTGCTCCAATGACAAAAAAACAACGTAAGCTTAGAGTTAAGCAACTTCATAAGTTATCGTGCAACTCCACATGCAACCGTGGTAGTTCTCTAAGTATCTAAATTTTCCTCGAATAAACTTATAAACTAATCAAATAATAAGCCGACTGAAATTGTTATTTTTATATAATAACAATATATAGATATAATAAATTATATCATATTATATTAGATGTTTTAATTCATTCCCTACTGGAGCGTGGAATTGTGGGGGAAGTAAATTCAGGTAGGAAAAAAAAACAAATAATTAATTAATAATAAAAAAAACTTAATTTATTGTATTATTTTGGAAATATAACATAGCAATTAGAGAACCTTTATAACTTTTTCTAAAAATTTAAATTGATTTAAATATGTTTTTAGTTATTAAAAAATGAACAAATTTTGATTTTGATCCTTAAAAAAAAATTCTTTGTTTTATCCTTAAAAAATTTAGACTATTTTTTGATTCCATATTATTATATAATAATTTTAAACTTATTTGTTTATTAAAAAGATAAATGACTATTCTAAGTATTATTTATAACTGTTAGCGATATTATATCAGTATAAGACATCTTGATGGAGGACTATCCATGAAGATACACATTAGGTCTATTATAAAATTCATGGTTAGGAGCACTCTGGATTAAGCTAGCACATAGATTGTTGGGTCCAAACTTCTTCTTTCTTAGGTTACTTCATGAAACCTATATTATTTCATATTATATTAGCAGAGTATGTTATAAACATTATATTTGTGACCTTGTATTTTTGACCTTCTAGATTAGAATTTCGGACTTTAAGTTTTAATGGGCGAATTTTTAGGTTTATTGGGCCTTAGACTTTATATGGCCAATATTAGTCTTGTTTTGTTGGGGATTTTCTTTTTTAGAGTTTATTGTATAGGATTTATAGGCCTTGTATACATAGGCCATCATCTAGTATAGGATTTTGAAGGTTTATATAAGTTACATTTGAAGTTAAATGTAATTTAGAGCTTATTTACATTACATTTGAGTCATGCGCCCAAAGCAGGCTCAAATCAAATGTAAATGAACTCTAAATCACATTTAGGATGCATAAGAAGCTAGAAGCATGTGTGATCCCTCCTTGAAAATTTCGGCCAAACTCAAATTGGTTTTGGCTTCAACTTTCAAATTTGACCCACCATGTCTCCTACTTTTCTATATAAGTCTTCTCCCTTGTAGGTACTCTCACTTTTGATATATGAGAATTAGAATTCAAAAACCTCTCTAAATTCTCTTAATTCTCTTAAAAATCTCATTGGAAAAACTTTCTTCTTAAGAACTTTCCACATGGAAACCTCCCTTGTGGATTAGGGATTTTGCTTCATCTCCTTGAAGTTTTTGGCACACCACCTTCTACTCCTTCTACTCTTATTTTCTTTTATTTTGTTCAATGGAAATCATTCTTAAAGCTCAAGGAAGAAGATCAAGGTTTTAGGAATTCATTGGAGAAGGAATCATGCTTCATCCTTCAACTAGCTTCTATCACACCTCTTTTTTTTATTTATAAGATTTTAAAATAAATGTTATTTATCTATCTTAAAATCTTCATTAGGGACAAAAAATAGTGATTTGGATTTTAGAAGGACTAAGATTAAAGAAAAATATTTTACAAGGATTAGAACCAAAATTTACTTATTTTATAAGAACCATAAATAATGTTTATAAATTAAAAAAAGGATAAAAACAAAAAAGTTATAAAAACCAAAATCAAAACTTGTTTATTTTACATGAACTAAAAACATATTTTAAACCCTTTAAATTTCTAGAAAGCATTTATAAAATTATTGAATAATAAAAATTAATAAATTTGAAAATTGTCAAAAAAAATTATTATTTTTATTTTTATATATTTTCATGCTTTTATTATCACAAAATGAGTTAGGTAAAAAGATTTTTCATCGTGTGAGAATAACATTATGAGGACATATGGTAAAAAATAATTTTTTTCATTATATCCCACAATCATAAATCTCAATAATCATTATTTTTGAAATGAATAAAATATGTTTAAATAGTCATAAATATTTCCAAAAATATTTGTATGCTACTTAGAAATTAAATATATTTTTTTTATCACATTAAACTAGTAATATTTTTTTTAGTGTAATAAAGCTTTTATTTTAATTCACCTTAGATTGTTACCTTAGAACAATTTTGTAAAAAATCTATGTAAAATATATTTTGAAACACACACATGCACTCATTAAAAACTAAAGCCTCTTACTCAATGAACATGTAAATAAATTAGTATGTGATTTTTTTTAACTTAATGTGATCTTAAGTTTGAGTTTTGAGTTTGTAATTGTATTAGATATATTTGAAGAAAAAACTTTGTTATCTATAATGATTCTACTTAATTCAAACAAAAATATCTTTGGAAAAGAAGATAAATGTAGAAAAAACCTCCTAATCGATATTTATTCAATCTCATTAACATAAGTAGTACTAAGAAAATAATAAATAGATAAAAATTTTTTTTTTTATAAAATTAACCTTATTATTAATTTAAAAAAAAAAAGATGTAACATAATAATATTTTCTAAAAAATATTACAAAAATATAAATAAAAAATATAACTAATATTACATTATACAAAATGTTAACGTAACATTTATTTTAAAACTAATTTTTTCTTAAAATAGAACGGTTATTATTATGAAAGAAATTTTCTTTTGGAATATAAGAACTTTGTAGTGCTATGCTACTATCCCTTCCCTAATAAAGTGGAGTGTGTAAGTGTCCCGGAAAATTTTCAGCCACATGTTTTTATTCCGACCAATATTTGTAAAATGCAAAAGTAACAGTGTAACTGTAAACAAACCACACATACTCCTTTGTATTAATTCATTCCGACCAAAGTTTGTGAAAAGCAAATTACTGATAAAAGCATAAACAAATCTCATAAATCTCACGTGTGGCACATGGATGTATGCCTCATGAAAAGCCCATTCACATTCATACAAGAATATGATAATTGATAATACCCCACCGACCCATGAACGAAGGAACACCGGTTTTCATTCCCAAATCTAGTGACCCTCCATTTTGTGCCATCAAATCAAGAAAAATAAAATATTAAATATTAATAATTTAATAATAAGCAATAGGGGCATAAACCATAAAATATGATCCTCCATCGTAATAGGTCAAATACACGGCAAGAATGAATTATGAAACGAATTCAATTCCATTTTCCGCAAAGTCTACACATGAAAATCGTTATAGTAAAAGTAAACACGTATTTGTTTGGTCTCTTCCACACTAAAATATAATTGTGAATGACTAAATTGCCCCTGCAAAATCCACAAACCCCTTCTTCTGCTTCACCCTCTTGTATATAAGTTCCATCTCCGATTCCCAGAATCATTACCTAGCAACCAAGGTACCATCTTTGAGCCTCCCTTCAACACCCTTTTGGCCCTTTATTCTTCAACGGCATAAAGGGTTTAAATTCTGTGTTGTTGTTGTTGGAGGTTGAAACACAAGTTACTACTAAGTTATAATCTTAAATTTCACAGAGCAAGAGTATTATATGACCAAATATTTTAATATTTTAGGACTAGATATTTTGCTACTCTTAGCAATTTTTCTCTTCTCCTTCTGGTTCTCATCTTTTGTGTTCTTCTTTGTGTCTTCTCTCTCTGAGGAGTTTTCTATTCTAGTTCCTGGAAGCACCAGGAACCTGACCCAACAAACCCTTGTCTAAAGCTTCATTTTTGAGTCCCATGGCAACTAGGGTGTTATCAGAATGTGGCTTGAAGCCTCTTGCTCCAGTATTTCCCAGGCCCAGAACTGGGGTTGTTTTGTCTAGCACCTCAAAGGTTGGATTTTTGGACACAAACAATATTCAGTTTCAACCTTTGAGGTGTGGCCTTAGGGAGAGAAATTGGGGGTTGAAAGTGAGTACCCCTTTGAGGATTGCACCTATTGAAGAGGAGCAAAATAATGTTGGTGTGTTGAATGAGACTAGTGGCGTTGAGCACGAGAAGCTTCTTCCAGAATTTGACCCTGGTGCTCCACCACCTTTCAACTTGGCTGATATTAGGGCAGCAATTCCAAAGCATTGCTGGGTGAAGGACCCTTGGAGGTCCATGAGCTATGTGGTGAGGGATGTCATTGCTGTCTTTGGTTTGGCAGCTGCTGCTGCTTATCTCAATAATTGGTTGGTTTGGCCTCTCTATTGGGCTGCTCAAGGCACTATGTTTTGGGCTCTGTTTGTTCTGGGTCATGATTGGTAATAACAACTTTTATGTTTTGTTTTGTTCTGATTTTGATTTTGCTGTGTTTTGGGGTGCTAAATTAGGTTTCAAAATTGTTACTTGATGAGTTTAATTCTTGTTTTGGATTTTTCAGTGGTCATGGAAGCTTTTCAAACAACCCCAAATTGAACAGTGTTGTTGGGCATCTGCTGCATTCTTCAATTCTAGTGCCATATCATGGATGGTATGCCAAAGCTTATGATGGAATTGCCTTTATTTTTTTTAGAATAAAATGTTTTTTGTCCTTTTAACAATTTAAGATGTTTTAAGTCTACTTTTTAATAGAAATACATGTTTTTAGTGGCTAATATACTTGAACCATGTCGCTTTCAGAAAATAAAGAGACTAAACACGTAAATTTTTTTGTAGAGATTAAAATTAAATTTCGAAATATTTTGAGGAAAAAAAATGTAATCTTATTTTTATTTTTGTATAGTTTTGAGTTCCTGTTAGTAACTGGTATTTTTATACAGGAGAATCAGTCATAGGACTCATCACCAAAATCACGGCCACGTTGAGAATGATGAATCTTGGCAACCGGTGAGATGACAATCATTTTTGTGGTTTTTAAGAGATAAAGTTTCTCTCTCTCTCTCTCTTCTATGTCATCAAAGTTTCTGACATAAGAGGTACTTTGATAATCTTACAGTTGCCTGAGAAATTATTCAGGAGTTTGGACACTGTAACACGTACGTTAAGATTCACAGCTCCTTTTCCGCTGCTTGCATACCCTGTCTACCTTGTAAGTTTCTGTGCCTACATGTTTGGACCATAATTAGAATATTAATTACTCTTAGTCTTGGTAGAAGAATTGACATGGTGGTTGTTGATGTTTAAATTCAGTTTGGTAGGAGTCCTGGGAAGACTGGTTCTCACTTTGACCCTAACAGTGACTTATTTGTTCCCAAAGAAAGAAAAGATGTGATTACTTCCACGGCTTGTTGGGTTGCTATGTTGGCATTGCTTGTTGGATTGGGGTTTGTAATGGGTCCAATTCAACTTCTTAAGCTCTATGGTGTTCCCTATGTGGTAACCTTCTTCTCCTTTTGCATCTTTTGAATGGTTTTTTTCTTTTTGAATCAAGAATTAATGAAGTTCTCATTTGACTTTTCTTGGAAAATGAAGGTCTTCGTTATGTGGTTGGATTTGGTGACTTATTTGCACCATCATGGTCATGAAGACAAATTACCTTGGTATCGTGGAAAGGTACCTTCTCTTTTCCTATGAAAAGGATTGGTCTACTTGTGCCTTGGCACATTTTTGTTCCGTTCGAGTTTAATTTTTATATACTATCAGCTTAAATTTTACATCGTTAATTAATCAAAGATACTTTTGTGATTTAATGAAGTCTATACTCTATATGCTATATGTTTATTGGTGTGTTGTGTTTTTGATAATACACTTCAGTTACTTACATATTTATCCTTCATGTTGAGCAGGACT